CAACAACTTCTAACAGACCATATTGGGCATCGTATACGCTGTGAATGTGAATGTCGTTACATTTCTAGAAATTAGATAATATAGACCAGAGTAGATAATAGGAAGAGAGTGTGATTCAACGTAAAGAGGGAAATTGCGTCATTTACTATCTTAGAATACTACGTGGTATACGTGTAAGCTCAACGCTACTTGAGGGCTCAAATGTACACAGATACAGTTCGCCTAAGTCGTGCAATCGTTTTCGACTCATAATACACGCCGGCAATCCGGAGTAGCAGACTAAAGGCAAGACACAATCCTGCAGCGAAGCGCCGATGTAACGACATTTTCAGAAATTTAGAAATATTGTTTCTATGAGCCATTGCAACACACACGGCGACAAGGCGACCGGCGACACCTCGACAAGGACGAGACAAGAATATTTAGGGAACGTGATATTATCTAGCGAGTCGCAGGAACTTTTACAAATACCAATCGCAGCGTTTCCAGCGAGAGTGACATTGTACGTTACGTTCATAAGATAATGAGTCCTCCGGCGGTTAAACTGCGATGCATGTCACAACAATGAGGGCCGCGAACAAGTCTAACAAAGCGTTGCAGTGTGCAAAGCTAGGAAGCGATAGTACGAGTACCATTGATAATTTGCTGCGTGGGATAGGATTTGAATTTGATTATCTTATGCGGGATATCACTGTATGTCTAGAAGTTTCTTGGGCATTTCTCGTGTATTTAAACGTAAGTTGATTGCGAGAAGTTTTGCTAAGTGTTTTTCCGCACTTTGGCGCGTGGCACTACGTTATTGCTTGAGTAACAGGCAATCTGTCTAGAGTAACGATAAAATGCATTGAACCGCTTCGTTTCACAAATCATGCACAATTACAATTGTATTGCATTCTGATTTTGTGTTACGGCGTTGGCGCATCTCTCGGCTTGTCTCGCGGTAGCCGCGAGACATCTATCACGGTGCAGTAATGCATACCGTCGCACCGTAGAAATCAGGTCAGAGTGTAAACACAGAGGTTCATACTAGCGTAACAGCAGTGTAGTACTAATACCGCGAATACCGCGAAAAGTACTAATACCGCGAAAAGTCTGTTATTAGATAAGCTTGTGGATTACCAGTCGGATAGTAACACGGTAATGACAATGACAGAAAGTGCTCTGAATTATTGACATAAAAAGTCAATAATATTTACCACACAGAATTGAATCCCCTTTTGTTTTAATTATGCACTTCGTTTAAAGGCACCATTTGTATTTTGGATAGTCGGCATACGGTAATATTCGGAGCTGGTATGTGGTCAAATCAATTTTTCTATGCTATAACTGCATAAAATCTTGGTGTTTTGAATGTTGGTATAATCAGTGATATTTCCACTGTCTGAGACTATATTCAGCTATATTTAGTTTTTCTGAGCCAAAAAACTCGCAATACACGCTTTAAAAGCAGCAGCATGAGTTTTTGCCGTTTGTTCATGTGATGATGTGTACCACTGTGGCGAGTGCTGGGTGAACTTTGACTTAACGTCGGTCGCTGTCTCGCTGCAGTGTGTTTGCGCCAGTCGCCGCGACTTTTGTCGTTACGGTCGGTCGCTGCAGTGTGTCTTGGCCTTAAAACGTACGACATGATTCTCCATTCTGTTGCCAGAAAACCGAATGTATAACCCGCCTAACTTGAAACAAAAGGCAGCTACTAACGACTCTTGCGCACTCTTGTCCCCTCGGCGATGCGGTGTGGCTCGCTGGGCGATTGGAGCTGGAGCTGCTGCTGATTGTGGTGGGCGTGCATACGTGGGGGGCATACCAACTGTAAGTAGGTCAAAGATTAGCTCGCCGAGTGTTGCGTCGATGTCACTAGTCGTTGTCTAGTTTTCACAAGAAGCTTAAATTGTCTATCTGAAGTTGGCCGTATTGTCACACTGAACGGACAATCCATTAGATAAGTGCTGGAATAGAAATAAGGCTAATGAGAATAAAGAACAAATATATAATACTAACACACGCAATCAGAAATTGACATTATTGATATTTGTAACTCAGACTACAATACAGCCCTTCGCTACGCCACAGGGATGCCGATGGCAGATGGTAGCAGAGAACCCTCTACAATATACGAGGGACACAATGTTGGAGGTTGTGTTCAATTGCTAATTAGGCGATTGTAGTATCATAACTAGTACCGTAATACTAATAGCCCTGGCTGTGCCAGGCTGTGGTGGGCGGGGCACGGTTCAAGGATAGAGAACATGGGTCCCAATAAAACCAATGTCATTTACATCAATATTATTGATTGTATTTTTGGTTAGGGTTATGGTTAGGGTTAGGTTAGGGTTAAGGTCAGGGTATTAGCCAAGCACATTGGTTTTATTGGGACCCATGTTCTCTATCCTTGGGCCCGGGGCACAGTAAACGTTGAAGATTGAAGGGCTGTAGNTACACATTAGTGAAACTGTTGGTTTCATATTGCTTGATTGCATTCGACAACTCTTCAAACGAGGAGAATTCCTGCTAGTTATATCACAACGCACTAGCCATGACAGTCGTATATGCATCGCAGTGCATTATGGTTGGCAACTTGGCACTTGTCCGCGGCGCTTTGCATGATGGGATATGATCCGTAGGTATAGAAAAAATGAACGTCCTTACGTCTCCGTAAGGATAGCCACGGCGTTTTTTGTATGGAAGGGTGTCAGGCTGTATAGACAATCCGTCGCACAGCCTGGTCGGGCTAGCATAACCCTTAAGTTATAGATAATTTAAGCTAGTAAAGGAACAAATTAAAAAAGTAATTTATTTTACTTTGAAACAGATGGGGGAATGGTTGCTCAATTCTACAGTGTGGTCACTGTACAGGTAACAGGGAGACTAAGGTAAGGGACCCACTTTTCTCATTCAGGGTAACCCCCATCCCCAATTTTTGACATGCGTCTAAACAGAGGAATTGCTCCGACCTGTGATTGGAGGATAAAAATAGAATTCGTGATGTGTCGTTTTCATTTTGCATACCCCGCCTCATACGCTATTATGCTATGACCGGTAGGAAAGTGTACTAACTTAGTAACTATCATATGGTGCGAACGATTTGAGTTGCATTTCAATAAATTTTAGCCATTATAGACACATGTCTTAGCCTTAATCTCTGTGAGTATAGTGAAGTGCGATTAGTCTAATTAATTAGCAAATATGCACTCGCGGTATCGATCATAGGCTAATATTTTATACGCGCGGCTATGGCCGGTAGGAAAGTGTACTAACTATCATATGGTGCGAACGATTTGAGTTACATTGCTATAAATTCTAGCTATTATAGACACATGTCTTAGCTATGATCCCTGTGAGTCTTGAGTTTATTGAAGGGCAAAATTATCTTAATTAATTAGCAAATATGTAGGCCTACGCGCGGTATTGCTCATACTCGAGTGATCGGCTAAATGCCAAAATGAAATTAAGCGACACGTCACGAATTCTATTTTTATCCTCCAATCATAAGTCGGAGCAATTCCTCTGTTTAGACGCATGTAATTTTTGTCCACCTATTTCCATTGTAGGGGGCTAGTGACAATTTTAATATGCAGGGTTCGAAATTAACGCTCGCACACTCGCATAATGCGAGTGGATTTCCAAAATTGCGAGTATAAAAATTTAATATAAGCACTTGCATTTTTGTGCGAGGGACATAGAATCTGTTGTGATGACTATCAAAATCCAACATCCCATATCCAGTCATTTTAAAAGTAACAAGTTGTCAACATAAGTCATAACGAACTAGACCAACTAATTTCTGCAAAATTATAAACACGTACTGTCTACAAACTGAGTAAGGATTATAAACCTTGCGCGATCGGCCGCTACCGAGAGTATTCTATCTGCACGCTTTGTAGCCTGGTTTAATAAAGTCATCTCAACATTATATAACATTTTTAAAGTAACTAAAAAAATAACATTTTTAATTAAAGTCTTAGCATATTATACACTACAAAAAAATATATATACTAAAAATGCGAGTGTTTCGGATTTTGCGAATTGAAATTTGACCCACTCGCAAAAAATTGCGAGTGGTTTCAAAAGTTAAATTCTACCCTTGTAATATGGCAAATGAAATGATAGTGTAATACAAAATATACAGTGTATTCATTTCAAGATGATGCCTTTTAATTTTTTGAGATATTCAAGAACAAAAATATATATAAACATCGAGTTTTTGCTTCGGAGGATGAAACAAATATACCAATTTGATTAGTTTTGAGGCTGATCGAGATTATGGCGTGCTAAAATGTGATAAACAAAGAGGTCGATTTTGGTCGTAGTAGCACTTTAATAGCTTCATTAATTGCTTCATTATCTTTTGTTTCAATTGCAGTCTAAACTGGGCCTACATGTAATGTCTCTATAAATTTCAAGCCTGCCCATCCCTCCCCCTTGGCAAGGGTGGGGCATTTGTCAATCTTTCAATCCCGGGGTTGTGGCATTTGTCGAAGTGGAAGAAAAACAAAGATTTAAAATGATTCTAGATCTACATCAACTGGATGTTAATATCTCCTCCTTAACATCCACAAAAATGCATGAAAAATTGTCTGGGCCTCTTGCTATCTGCACTCTATAATTGTAGAACTCCAAATGTAATAAGCTTGCCCTACCACCTTGGCAGTGACCTTGCCCTACTGCCCTAGCTGTACATTGTACTAGCTTGCCCTACCTAAGCTTGTACTACCTTGCAAAGGAGTTTTCAATCATTGTTTATTTACCATAAAGAGTTTACAGAACAATAAATACAATCTAACAAGTAACAGAATAGATTTAGTTTGTAGTTGAGCAAAAATACATGGTAGTACCAGTTAAATTGAAATAAATATGTATAGTTATTCAGTTTAATTATATGGAAGGATGGTCAGAAAGGAAACTCCAAGGAGCTTGTAATCACTGACCACCTTGGTTTTACAGTAGCTTTCTAAGTTAATTTCTAAGCTACATGTATAGTGATATCTTCTGTTTAGGGATCTGACTGTACCATGTCTCTTGATGGGCATGACAAGCTCTGTGGATTCCAGAAGTCAATGTTCCCCCTCTGCATCTATGGTGCCCAGGACACCTACAGTGGTAGAATGAATTTCGTAAGGATATGGACATCCAATAACAATCCAAGAATCATTGGAAGATTCTACTTTGACTACTTGTTTGAGAGCAGAGGTACTGCAATTTTGTATTCCTGTAATGACAGGTTACTAGTAATTGCATCCCCCGCGACGAAGTCGGCGGGGATACTATGGTTTCATGTCTGTACAGCCGCCGCCACAGAGATTTTCCCTTCTGCTCTATAACTCGACCCCTAATTGACCTAGCGTGACCAAACTTGGTCTACTTACACATCTTGGGGAGAAGGTGGGCAGCGTACCAAAACCAGGTCAGTGCGACCTTTATTTGACCTTTACCTTGATCATATTTTCCTTCCGCTCTATAACTCGGCCCCTAATTGGCCTAGTGCGACCAAACTTCGTATACTTACACATCTTGGGGAGAACACGGGGATGCATGTAGTTGGCGACAACTGCCCTTTCTAGTTATTTTATTGTTTTTTTATTGCATATGGTAATCTTTTGATGCAGAAAAAAGGCAAACAAAACAAAAACATTGAATAATTAGCTCTGTATAATTTGAAAATTATTATGGATTTCATAATTGAGCTGAGTGAGTTGAGTGTAATTCAGGCCTGAATTCATACTTGAGATTAAAAACGGAATATTGATTAGACTACACATCTCCACATTGTATAATTTTATAATCTAGCAAGTGGTATTATATGAAAGAAAGCTGATTTTGTTTATTACTGCATTCCCTAGTGTTACCCTCAAGGATACGCGTGGACAGAGGAACGGAAACAGGTGTTATGGCTACCATCCATAGTTATCTGAGAGCACAATGTGGTGATGTGGAAGATGGCACAGTCTGTGTATTGTATGGGCCATCTACACAAAACAAGATTGAGAGGTGGTGGAGAGAACTGTTAGAAAGGATGGAAAGGTTCTTCAAGAGTCAGTTGTCCACTCTGGTGGAGGATGGAGATTATGATGCAAGTGATGAAAATGACAGGTAACTATGATAATTAATTTATCTAAAGAAGTAGTCATTGAAAATGTGTCAGGGGAGAATGGAGTTATATTTATTCTTGAGTGATTTTTGATGGGCTCAATGTACTGGCAGGGCTTTTTAACCAGATAGAAGAGATCTTTTGGTTGCAGATTTAAATTAGTCAGTTTTTCTCTTTCTACAAAGTTGCAAGTGTCAAGAAGAAATAAAATTGATGTCAAAGAAGTTTTGGGCTTCTACATGTATGCTGGATTCATCATTGGCGTGTGAGTTAGCAGTGAGTGGGCCTAATTAGCATGATGAGGCTTATAACTATAAGTTATAAGTCAATTAATTTGACACTTATTTTTCTTTGTCTCCTTATCTTTCAGGAAGATGCTTGCATACATATATATTCCTGTAATACAGCAGGAGCTAGATATATTTAGGGTGTCTGTGTGGAATACACACAGAATAAGAAAACAGAAGTACAAGGAACTTCCAGTAGGTGTTCCAGAGCACATATACACCTGCCCAGATAAGCATGGTGGGGCTAAATGTGGCTTTCCAATAACAGAGGAGCAACTGAGAGAGGTGGCTGAGCTCTCAGATGTGCTCGATGGTACTGATGACTTTCTGCCCAAGACGTTTCGACAAGAGTGTCAAATCCATATACCCAACATAGAAGATGTTGAGCCATCTCAAGCAGCTAATTCATATTTGTATTTGAAAGCCAATTTTGATTTAAATAGGTTGTAAATAATTTACAGATAAAAAGGTTATAGACCAGTCTCAGGGTCCAGAGTCGCGTGATCAGGTTTTTGTATACCATGTGGGGATTTTTTTGTATACCACGTGATCACTTTTTGTCCACCGCCGGGTAGAAAAAATTATTTTCTTTCTCTGATTAGTGTGGGAATGGTCTTATCTGATTCAGTGATTGGTACAAAGAGTCCTTCCTTTGTCTTTTCGCAAACTGTCGGCAAAATCCTTTGTTGGTGCATAAAAATTGATCACGTGACTGTTGTTCTCTAACCGCAGGTGGCGTAAAAATTTGTTGAGTGACACGGTTTACTGGGAAGAGTAGTACACGACTTATCCATAGTTTTAATCCTATTTTTATATACAGGTACCATTAGATTGTCAAAATAAGTTATATAAGTTATACATGTAGCACTGCTCAATTTGCATGTGAGAATTTGCATATAAAGACAATGAAAATAGCTTCTTGATATGTCATACAAAAGTTGTACAGTTGTCCTTAGCAGTAATAGTCCAATAACAGGGAATACATTTTTAACTCACCTTGACATCGTCAAGATGAGCTATTGCCATGGGGTGTCGTCCATCGTACGTCCGTCCGTCAACATTTGCTACAGTCAACGATAACTCAAGAATCGTTTGACCCACGTTTCAAATTGCATACAGTTGTTACTCCTATGGGAGAGGTTTGAACGTCCTATTTTGGAGCACGCCAGTCAACCTACTTTTGAGCCACGTCCACTTTTTGCCAAAATTGAAATGGCCCTAAGTCGGTTCTGGTTCAACAAATTTTGCTCATTTCTGGTATGTGAATGAATAAGGACTGGCCCCAAAACATATTACACGGATGTTGATTTTTTTTTTTATTATGCAAATTAGGTAGATTGGCAAAATTTATTTTGTTGAACTGGTTAACAACTCTACAATCATACCTATATACGTGTAATATTGTGTTTTAGATTCTTCGTTACAGTAATTTGACTGGAATGTATTGTTTTTATTTGCGCGATATTCGAAAACCAAAATGGCGATCATTTAGTCGTAGCGCCATCTCTTGCCAAGATTTCAGACTTTCAGATCTGAAACATTTATTTTCGCATCAAAAATCACATATATCATTATCAAGAGTATAAATTCGGAGATATGCTATATAATGGGAGTTCTCCCATATATACTCTTGCTTTATATATCCCCCCTCCCTCTTCTACCTCACCCATGGTGAGCTATATTGTCATTGACACTCTCATTTTTTATACTTAGGATGCTCGATTGAGTGGCATTTCCAAAAAGGGGGGATTTCTAAAATGTATGCCAACTTTTGAAATACTGGTAATTATTTAGATTTCGCATGTGCTGTACGTGCCTTCAATTTGCTGTTTATTGCCAACGAGCCAGCAAAATGAGCAAATAGGCACAAATAACCACTGATTTCAGTGGTTATTTGTACTTATTTGCATATTGTGCTTATAATTATTATAGGTTTTCAGTGGTTATTTGTTCTGATTTTCTAATTTTGCTGACTCGTTGGCTATTATTGTCCTGTGAACTTCTGACTTCTTTCGATGGAGCGGATACTTTCTAGTAAAAAATAATAAAGATGTTACCAAGTAATATGTAAGAATTTTATTACATTCCTTGTTTTATAATTTACTTGAAAAATAAAAATACTACTAAAACAATAACATGGTAAATTTATGTGGATCATTTAGTTACATGTATTAGAAGTTTCAATATAACTTTACATCTATTTTTAAAACTGGCTTGCTAAGGGACGCATATAGACCGTTATTTTTTTGGAGGGAGGGGGATGAGAAATCTATAAAAAAATTGTTTGCAGGCTGCAAACTTAAAATAAATTGTTTGCACAGGAGCAGTAAAAACAGAAAATGTTTGCATGCACATTTTTCTCATCCCCCCTCCAAAAAAATAATGGTTCATCCCTAAACATTAAAAAACATTAAAAATAAATACAAAAATGTTATCAATTGTTATAATAATTATAAAGAAAACTATCAACTGTATTAACTGAAACCAAGAACAAGAATCTATCAACTGTAACTGTAAAGCTATACTTGGGAAGACATGGCTGCCAAATCCATCCACAACATCTCGTACACTCTGCTTTGTCAACTTAGATGTGTTTGGGTATGCATGCGTTTCTCTGAGTTCACTTAGGAAAATGTTGGTAGTTTTAAGAGATTACAATACTTGTTACACATGTGTACTGATACGAATGTATTGATGGCAGCTCTGGAAAGATTCCCAGTACAGAAAAAAATGGAGCTGTCTCCAGGGTCTCTTTGTTCTGGCGTTGCAATCTCCGGGTCACAAAGGGAATAGTTAATTCCCTGAATGTCTGTTACCATAAGCTGCTTGTTAGACCTGATGTAAGTGAAGTGGACAAACGCCTCAGCCTTCAAGCTCAGTTCATGATCACCAACATCTTCCGGTTCCACACAGACCTCACCAGTGTTATTGATAAACTTCACGAATGTACCTTCAAGGAAATTTTCCAGTGTCACAAATTCGTTGTTTATAGAGGAAAAATACACCTTATGGTAGCTGAAGGTCTTCCCAAATTCAAGGACCGGTGCCTCGAGGGCCATGCGTTGTGCGAAATTGCGTGCCAGCGCATTGAGCTGAACGGATTTCCTGGTGTGAGCTTCTATTGTTCCAAATAACCTTTCTATGCCTGGCACTTCATCCTTTATGTATGTCTTCAAAACGTACTTTCCTTTAGGGAGTCCAGCAATGACCTTTGCCAAATAGGCCTCACGAAAAGCCCCATTGGAAAATGGTTTTCGCTGTAGTGAGATGGTGACCTCGAACGGATCTAGCCACCCCATGCCATCTGCTATGGAAAACTCTTTAAGACGGAGGTTAACAATATCTGTGTCTGGGACAATTAACTTGCCTAAATCCAACATTTGGCTGAGTGACACATACGGAACAACTGACGACATCACCACTCTTGGGCATCGGCCTTCGTCTTTACAACTCTCCCTGTATCTAGTACTAGTACTAGTACTAGTAGTAGGCTCGCTTTGGTGGCTTTCTGGCTTGTTCGAGGGAAAACCTTCAATAAATCTGATATGGATTACCTTCCAGTTTTGGATTTGGCTCTCGTCTGTGTACGAAGGGCCGCGTTCCCCGGCGAGCACATCGCACTCCAAATTTGTATTGAAATAGACCTTACAGGCCTCTTTAATGTTTTTGAGTGTCGCTTCTTTCTCCTCCAATGGCACTAGGGTTAAAGGTCCGATTCGGGAATACTTCTGGCATTTCCCTTCTACGTTGGCAGACAGCCTCTGTATGGTGATGCCACCCGCTAACCCGGCTGCTCCAGCTCCATTATCGCCCTTACCTCGTCGTTTCTTCGCGACGTTTCCCTTATAGTTGTCCCAGGCCTGTTTTCTCTTAGCAGACATCGTCGGATAAGCCCAAATCTGCGATATGCCCGCGTTATTTCACAAAATGAATGGTGCACGATGGAGCGAAGACGCAAGGGATTGTGGGATATGTATAAGGTTTACCCAAGTTGCATTGCGCTATGGCGTTGTAGTCCAGGCATTTTGTGAAAAAAATGGGGTCAACCTCGGACAAATTGCAACAGAAAGTCTGTCAACTGTTTTATACCCAGAAAGATGTCCTCTATAACATATCAAAACTCTTAAGGAATCCTGGTGGTGGAAGGTTCCATGGCGGCCATTTTTCAAAATGGCCGCCAT